GGACCTCTCTAACCATTATAATAAACAACATTGATGGAAACCAGTTACCGAGTAGTGCAAGGTTTCCCTTCAGAATACAATCTTGTTTACATTAGAACAAACTTATCCAACAGCAGGTAATATTTTGCTCTGATAAATACTTAATGCCATTATTGAATTATGGTTACCCGTTTCGTCCTGAGAATTCTGGACGTATTATTTGTTATTTATTATACATATTCCTGGCTCACGATAAATTTGCCATCTTAGGAAGACAAAGACAAAAAAAAAATAAGGTTTCGGTGAATTATTTCATGGACACGTAAATGACGTCTCATGCGTTCTTGCACGGTATTTTATCTAGAATCTCTCTTTTATATCTTTTATATCCTCGTACCTGACTGAAACGACAAGAAACCGCTCGACGTTTCCGATTACTTCAGCAGTTACTAGACAAACGCTCTAAGCTTCCAATTAATTACAAAAGACTCATATAGATGACTATAATTAGGCCTATTTGGACTTACGGAGTTGAGCTATGGGGCTATGGGGCGTTAAGTCCTCAATGCTCCCTACTTTGTTACAAATAAAACCATCAACAATGACCTTAATGTTTCTTATGTTTCAGATCTGGCCCAATCCATATACCTATCCTTCCATAATAAACTTCAGATTCATCCCTACTCTCTCGTTTCTAACCTTGCTTCTTCTTCAATTCCTGATAACCCTTCGGGGTTTCTGAAAAGAAGATGGCCCCGTGATCTCCTAATATTGACATATCATTAGAGTGCTACCATTGGCTAGTTACTGAACAAGTGTTTTCACGTCATTATATCCATATGTTCAAACTTACTAAACGTATTTCTTTAATAAAAGTTGTAAATATCATTAAGAAATAAAAACAAAAAAGTTTATAATATTTTTGAAACAATTTTTCATTTTTTTTTTCTGTTGGCATTACAGACCATGTACATCTTTTGCCGTAAGTACAAGCCTGCTCCATATCTGCCTGTCTTGGGCTATTTCTTTCCATTTATCTGCACGCAGCTCTATGGCATCTTTATTGTTTCTATCTATCCATCTGTTTTTTGGCCTTCCACGTGGTCTTTTGCCTTCTATTGAGGCATTCATTGTTACGTAGAGGCTTCCAGATGGTTGCTACAAGTTACATGCCCCGTCCATCTTAACCTCCGTGACTTCATACCATGAGATATTGATTGGCCATTTTCTGTAAGCAGTTCTTTATTTGTCTTTCTTCTCCATGTATTAGTACTTTGATCCCAGATCATTCCGGTTATCGTGCCGAGGATTTTTCTCTCAAATATTTTAACACATTTTTCTATGTACTGGTTGGTGTCCAGGTCTCACAGCCATATTTTATAGCATAGGTTTTATCCTAGCATTGTACACTCTTAATTTGAGATTTCTTGAGATTTTTCAGAATCTTAAAAGGGAGACGATAGCTCTGTTTGCGCTAGTTATGCGCATATCTTTATGCCCATTGGATATTCATTGAGGTTATTGTGGAACCGGGGAAATCATCTTGATAAAATTAACTATACAACCGGCACTTTTATTATTATTACTTTAATTGAAAAGTGAATTGTTTTATACAAATCATTTTTATTTACACTTTGTAATAAAAAACAACGAATAATTTAAAAAGTCTGAATATTCCCACTACAAATTCTTCATTTGTTGCCGAAAAATAAGAATGGTGTATGGACAAAATGTGTTGGCTAAATGTTGGCAGGTGGAGGGCAGTTTGTAGAGGTTGTTTGCCATATACCTATGTGCTATTATTATGGGTTTTAATAATTATCATGACTCTTAATAACCAATAATAATAGTGTGAGAATGAGGCAAATTATTTCTTATTAAATAAATGATTTTAATACATTTATAGATCCTATGGCAATACATATTACGAACCTGTACTACAGACAGTCCAAGAACAGCTGATTAGGAACGGTCATATAAGCCAGAAATCGGTTGCAAAATAAATTCATAAATAAACCTCCACGATATCCTGAATATCGCCTGTTCATAAGAAGAGGAAGTCCATGAGGAAGTGACCATCGAGCTCTATAATTTCTCTCTAAAGATTAGATAGTCGATAGTCCAAGACGTAGTGCCCTCTAAATGCCTTATTAGATATGAGGAACGTAGGGCAAACTTCTTATTTCAGGTTACATTGGATAACAAGTGATAAATGCATATGTCGTCATGTGAAAATGAGTATGATACACCACCGATTGGTATGTTCAACCACTTTGACTTGACCACCAATCTTTGGACTACTTTCTCCAAACCACAGGTATTATACGAGATTAAAGAGGGCTATAGCATTGAAATATTTTCCTATTTTATATCCGGATTTGGCTCTTGGAAGAACAATCCTAAATTAGTATATAATATATACCACAAATTTATATACACTCCGAAATTGACGGAAAGAATAAAAAATGGTTTTAAAAAATATGATGATTACGAACTCAAATTCGCATTATACAACGACTTGAAAGACACATATCCAATATGAAATATAGAATCAATGCAATAGATAAAAAAGACGTGATATATATGAAATCCTTTGTATACAATGTCCCAAACAGTGTGAAACATCTTGTATAAGAAACAGGATAAAGCAACACCAACGTAAAAAATCATAAAATCCACTTTGTTCAATCACAACATATTAAACAAACACACTTTTGATTTCAATAATATAAAAATTTTAAATACAGCACAAAACAATAAAATCAGAAACACTAGAATCAATTCATATTATTTAAAATATAAATAACTCAGTCAATTAAATGAGATATATTTTTAATTAGATAGGGAAATGGAAAATAATAAACATTAATATAGCTATATCCCATTCAATCATTAGTTAATTCCTACCGAGGCATACATCCCTAAACTGTTATATACATCCCGTACATATGTAAAGTCAATATTAAAAAGTAGACGGAGGAGGTAGTACCGTACTACGTGAACAGACAGTTAAAATAAAACGATAGGAATCAATTAATAGAAATTGTATATCTTCTGAAATAATCGCATACATAAATTTTTATTGTAGAGACATGCATCGATTAATGCGCAAAAATTTAAGGGAGATGGTGGCGAGGAATATATTTATTTGTGACAATTAGTGTATTTCAAATAGTTATTCATCAAATTATATATTGAAATACATCATAGTATATAAAAAAATGTTTTCGGTAGGTTCTCACTCGTTATATGACTAGATAATGAGCGACCAGAGTTGTAAATTATCTTTGTCGGAAATAAAATAATTTTTTTTTAAAAAGTATAATGGCTTACATATTACTTGAAGACACCATTTATAAGGTATAATCCGTGGCCTTTCGAACTTCTAACTTTTCAACTTAGTTTATTCCCATTCGAAACTGTTCTTCATGTTGTATTTTTGCTAATGTTAAACAAAATAAACAGCCAGTATTTTCTCTAATTTTGCTCCTGTCTGAGCATATGTCTTGTATTTGTAGGTCGTCACTTATGGTTTCATCTAAATACTGAATTAATTTTGAGTGAATTGAGGGATGGAGCCGATTTCGTACGTTAATATTTAATTCAATATTTTCTGTTCTAAAGTATTTGTAGTCATATCTCCTCATAATGACTTCATCAGCAAAATAATCTCCATAATAATGTACTAATATCAAAGAGTTAGTAAAAGGGGGAAAATTTGGACAGCAACGTGCCTGTGTAATAAGTCCATGATAATGCAACAAGTTCCACTATGAAATCCTTAACGACAATTACGAAAATCTAACGTGTTCGCGTGAGAAAGTTTCGTGAATCGGTGACATGGTGACATTCCAGTTAATTAGATCTCTAGATATCTGTAATATGCTCGTTTCGGTTTCCCGCTTTAATTTATTATTGTAATTAATGTAGCTTTATTTAAAAATATAAATATATATTTTTTTTAATATATATACATATATATATATATATATGTATATGGGAGTAGTGTTGCCCAAATGCGAGACCAAGACGAGTTTTGGTATAGCGTACTCAGTCTTCTGCTTGGTCTTGGTCTTGTGCAAGAGTCTTGCAATAGGCTTGCGGTTACCTATAAGCATATTACTATAGAGATATTACTGTAATTTTTCAGAATGGAAGATCCTAACTAAGCCCGAATGAAAAATTGGAAGAGTTGAATCCAAAAGTATATTGTTTCTACCAATTTTTTTCATTTGGTAACTAAAATTGTTTAGCATTAGTAACTACTTTGCCTTAATTTTCATTCACAAAAATTTGTTAACAGTAGGTGAGTATGAGTGGGTGATGTTTCTCTACACCTGAGGACATTTGTCTAGATCTATACAGTTCATATGATGAAATATTAGCATTAGTTACTATTATTATAGATGATCGTTGGACTTTGCTATTAATTAATGTTGCCTACCATACTACGGTTTAATTAATTAATTTAAATTTAATAATTTTATATTTAGTAACAGGAGGAGCTTTCGGGGTTCTAAACAATAATTAAATAACATTAAAATTCGGCGATAAATTTCATATATGTACGTAATATAATATGTAATTATATAAATGTCACGCAAACTAATGAACACGATATCATAAATTGATTAATCACTCCTTTATTAGGAAGGTCTATTGCGTTATTATTTTTCGCTGTTAGTTAATTGATAGGTGCAATACAGTTTACGATAGCATTAAATATACTTATTTTCGTTGTTATTGCCAGTTGGAATTTTAATTATCTGACTTACTATTTATTGGATTGTAGGGAAAATTATGAAGGATTTTGAGTTTTCTTTATAATTCCCTTCTATAAAACTGTTTACGTTTACTGGATTATTCATTGGTATGAATGTCAACACTTATTAATTCTCTTCCAAACAATAATGTTTGTTTACCTCTGTAGCATTTCGCTGCTTAGAGATAATTCAGTCATTACTAAGATGTCAACGCGTGATTTCGTATAATATTGTTTTACGAGTTTAAACTCGGCCGGAATGGGACGGAATGAGAAGGCCAGAAATATCAATCAAGTTTGGAGCGAAATTAGCATTAATGGGTGTAATGTTCAACGTTGGTTCAAAAAATTTCGGGAGGGAGACTTCAGCCTTGAAGACAAAGAAGGTCGTGGAAAGACTTCTTCTCTTAGCGACGATGTTCTGCGGGCTTTGGTGAAAGAAAACCTCAGAACAACTGTTCGAGAACTTTCAGGGAAACTCTTAACATCAAGGCGATTGGAAAGGTAAAAAGACTTGAAAGTTGGATTACACAAACATTAAACGACCGCCAAAAAAAAAAAAAAACAGCGTTATGAAGTTTGTGCTGCACTTCTTTGCCAAAAGTGGATACTTTACGATAACAGAAGACGTTCTGGACAGTGGCTCGACAAAGATAAAGAAGCAGAACATTTTCTAAATCCCATAACTCGTAAAAAAAAAAAGGTGATGGTTACTGTTTGGTTTAATACACTACAGCTTCTTAAATTCTGGAAAAAACCATCAATGCCGAATCGTATTGAAAATAAATTAATGCAATGCATCAGACATTGGCAATAATGAAGACATCTTTGGTCAATCGGAAGAGGCTTTGCCAATTTTCTTGCATTACAGCCAGCCACATCTCTCACATGTGACTTCACAAAAACTGTTGGAGCTTGGATATGAAACTCTGTCATATCCGCCCTACTGTCCGGACCTCTCGCCTACAGATTATCATTTTTTAGACACTTCTTCTGCAGACTACATTCTGTTTGTCCGAATCCGAACCTACTATCTATGTTTGCATACGTCCTTTTCCACCATTCATTTTTGGTTCTTTTTGTTGCTTTAATCAGTGTTTTGTTTTCCTTTTCCTACGTTCCACTGTACTTGTAATTCCTTGTTCTTAGCCAATTCAGGTAGACTTGCTTTTTCCTTTAAGTTCTTTCATATATATCTTCCGTCAACCATTCCATTCGTCTACTATATCTGGACCTTAAAGCGAACCTTCTGCGCTATTTCTTTTTCAGAGAACTCATCAGGAAATCGTAGATATTATTTGAGCTACCTCTATTTGCTCAAATTTCAAAAAATAGAACTCCTCTAATTGCTTCTCCTATTCTCTGCTAGTATAATGTTCTAATTCTTTCTTCCTGTAGCTATTCCACCTTACATCAATCCACCGTCAGTTTGTCTCCATTCCCACCTTGATTTCTATTAATTTGTTTGCATAGTTTTATCCACGGGAAAGTACAAAGGGATTACAGTAATGGTAATGGTCGGAACCACATTCTGCACCTCTGTATATCCTTTTATCTTTTATGTTTATAGAACTATTTTGCTTTGTTATTACATAATCTATCATTGAATTAAGTCCTCTGTCACCATCATGCCACCTGAATTTGTGAATGCATTCATGTTCAAAGAAGGTTTTGTTTATCTTTAAATCCTGTTCATCACAAATCTGTATTAATCTTTCAACATTGTCCTTTCTTACTAATTCACCAAATTTTTCAGTCACTTTACTGTTGTAATCTTTTCCAACCCGTGCATTCGTGCCACCTTGCAGGAACATTCCTTCCGTCGGCGAATTTTTTCTTAGACTTCGCTTAAGTTGTTCCAGAATTTGTTTTTGATATAAGCATTTTGATCATTACTTGGGGCACAAACGCCTATGGCAGCAACCTCTCTTCTGTATGAAGTTATATCCGTTGTTATCAACCGCTCATTTATAATCTCCCAGCCTCTTATGTTATTTTTAAGGCTCTTCAATCTTGACTAAGATTGAAATCCCCGATTTCGCTCTCTTGTGCTTGTTATTGTCATAACAAATACATAAAAAATAATATCAAATTATTTATATTAAGTTAAATTTAATTTATGATATTATTAATTTTAAAATTGTGCATGATTGGTTCATAATAGAACCTATAATGTATTATTAGATGCTGAAGAGGAGGATGAAATATCGCTAAGACATACAAACAAAAATAATAAAGAATAACATTATAAATTAAGAGTTATTATTTCTTAAATTGGACCTATATGTAAGAAATGGATAATTAATGGAGAAAGGTCAATACTATAAACTTATGCATTTTTTTTTTCTGTTCCAGCAACTTCGTGAGCACGGTGCTGCAGTTCCAGATCCACCGATCCCTCTGCCTGGCCGCGAGGCGACAAGCTCACACGAACCCATCCGATCCTATTCACAAATGCGACATCTACAGGAGCTCTGCGGCAGGAGATCTCTTAGCGTGAGCTAATTATGTATTATTATCTCCATAGGCGCAGACTTTCCATTTTGGTTGGGGAGAGGGTCATAGTTTCTCCCTCCCCCAAAATAAATTCTCGGGAATTTATTTCATGTATAAAATTGTGGAGAATACTTATCACTGTAATACGAACAATATAATAATATGTATATATATATATATATATATATATATATATATATATATATATATATATATATATTGATTTATTTTTGCGTTGGGGTACATTTGAAAATCTGTTAATATAGCAATTGAATATATTACATAGTTTTATCTTTATTTAAAAGTTTGAGGTAGTGAGGTGAACTCTCAATTTTCTGATGCTTCCGTGGAAAATGTGATTAAATCCACGTAAGATTAGAAGTGCGCATATGAATAAATAATAAAATCCTAGGGAATGGAGCTAAATATAATTATCTCTCAGTATAAATTAAAATGTCAGTAATAGCAACATAGAGCGTGGTGAAATACTTGCGTGCCTACTTCTAGGCCTTTTAAGAGAGCTCTCGGACTATTAAGGTAGCCATCTAGTCGACTTTTCATCGCCTTCTTTTGCGTCACCATGTTGTGTCAATCAGCGTGGAGGAGCGTTTAGCCAGGATTGTTCTCTGTTTCTTGTCATGTTTCCTGTTTGGCGGAGATATTTCCTCTCCTCTTGGAGTGTTCTAGGTATGACTTGGTCGGCCTCTGGCCTTCTACCGTCAGAGTGATAGTCCATAGTTTTAGGTGGATCTCGATGTTCCTGCATCCTGACAACATGGGCGTTTGGCTGGAGGCTCGACAGCTGAAATGGTTTCACTTCAGCTGTCGAGCCTTCACAACCTCCTTCACTGAGAGAACTGTTAAACAGATGTTTGATTGAAGTGGTTCAAATACACATGCTTTCCTCTAAAAATCCTCAGCGTCCATTATAGCGACCGGTATTATGAAGATCTCAATAGTATAAAATAATTTAAAATTTAATGGAGTTTTCCCTAAAGAATCTTTTCCGCTAAAATGAAGTATCTACTAGGAGAAGTTTCATTGTTTATTATGGTTCCCATCACTTCCCTAATAATTGAAACTGGACGATGTTCCTGGTTTAAACTGGATTATTACAAAAGTAAGTTTCACGTATTGCTGTCCCTTGCACTTAAGAAGAATGAATGACAAGAAATGTATGATTCAAATAGTTACGATATATAATTTGTGCTTATAATATAATTATTGATCGTAATACTAATTGAAAGAGAAATTAATGGAGGTGCTGTCAATAGGCATACATCGCAGTAGTGTTTATTTCATTTACCAACGTTTCGACCATATCGCTCCCTCTGTTCGAACTTGTATTAAGAATCTACATTTAGGGTCAATTGTACACGCCTTAGTCAATCTCACCAACTTACCGGGAACTCCCAGTTCAGTCATCATTTTCATGAAGTTGTAGATATAGTAAACTTATGTTGTGAATCTTTACACAACAGGGCTTTTTGGTTGTTTAGTATCTTGGACAAGATCTTAGACAGTTTTGTTTCAAACATTTTCCGTCGGATTGTTATTCTTAATATCCACAAATGTAATAAACCCCAGAGCTCACTTCTGCTTCCGGCATTTTATGGGATTTTCCCCTCTGCCTACACATTCTTTAAGTTACTAATTATTCGACTGCTCCCGAAGGACAGGAGATGACTGATGGTCGGTTTTCGGCACTTATGAAGTGATTTGACGCCCCTGATATAACCACTGACACCTCAATAGCCAGCTTTCTATCGTCTGTCATTAATTAGATTTAACATAAGGTTCAGCTGTGAGCCGGATTCCGTTACGTAATAGTGAATATTACTGATAAGGGGTATTTTTTTAAATCGTTATTTTTATACCCACAACTGTCACATATATCGCTACAATAGACTGATGTGATATAAATATAATATAATGGTTAGAATAGCCATGCCAGATCAGTGATTTCAGAATAATTAATTGAAATTCAATAGAATTTCGCATGAGTAGATCGGAACCATCTCTTTTTCAGTCTCCTCAGAAGAACCTCAGTCATATATGTAATATAAAATGAAAAAAAATAAAAATAAATAAAAAGATAGTGAATTTAAATACAGACATATCATTCCTTTTTAAACTAGAAATTAAGGAAAACTAGTCAAACAATTTTATTTTATATGTCAGCGATTCCTTCTGAAACTTGTTCAGGGTGCTAAGGGTATGAACATATCAAATATCCTGAAGTCTAGGTGGTAAGCCGAGGGGAAGGAGGAGGGTAGGGGGGAGGGAAGAGAGAAAGGGAGGAAAGGTCACAATTTTTAGTTTTTTTGGTTATATCTCGAAAACGTTGCCTCGCAGGAGAATTTTTTTGTATAATAAATTAAAGTTTATAAAATTGTTTAAAGCGTCTTTGAAGGCCAAAAATAATAATAAAATAATTAAAGGAACAATAATGCTTTTGGAGACAAATTCTTTTTTTTTTTTCTTGATAGTGCTTAGATTTATTAGCTGTATAAGCATTATGAATTTAAAAGAGAATATGATGTGATTGCCTAAGTATATATCTTCTTCTTATTTCTTCTTGGCCATACGGGTTTTTTCTCATTTCCAAAGGAGAGGGCGGAGGATTTATGTCAGAGTTGTAATAGACATCCCCCTGTATTTACTCCTTTAAATGACAATGTGTGAGGGAATGAGAAGGTATATATAATATATAGGAATGTGAGGTAGCACTGTGAATTGTACTCAATTTTACAGTGGAGAAATTGCTCATTGGAAAATCTGACATCGATAAATAATCGAAAAGAAGAAAAGGTCCGATCAGATAGCTGGCAACAGATGGCGAAGACCACGACAAACACTTTAGGCCTGGACACCAAGACAAGAAGACGTCATCTGGGAAGAGAGGCTTACTACATTGAAGACCAAGATTATCAAGCCGACCTTTCACTTATATATATACATTTATTATCAATTGTTAAAATAAATTTGTTTTTTAGACAGGAGTGAATAGTCATTTTATTAATTGTCCTATAGGCTTCACAATTGAAGAATAAACCAGGTGAGTCAATTCATTCAAAGTGTTTACTAAGCCCCACATTTCATATATATATATATATATATATATATATATCCTTATTGTTTCTTCTCACACAGTATCATAAAAGGTAATAGATCCCCGAATTCCCAATCACAGTTAAACACTGTCAAAAAGTCGATATCCAGTGCCGGGGTTTTGTTTTAAAGATTCACGAATGTAAATAACCATAGGTTATTTACAGAGTTAAAAGTTCCTCCAACACCAGTATGCAATCTCACAGACCATTTAGCTTAGATTTCTTACATAAACAAATATATCAATGAAAATCTTGGGGAGGGAAATGGGGGCTTTGGCCCCAAAGTCCCCTTCTCAGGTAGATCCACCAATGACTCCTCTTTACGTTTATCATAATCTTTCTGTAGCATTAATCTTCTTTTAGTTCTTCTATTTGTTTCAAAATCCAATAGTCTTCTTCCTCCAGGAGTGAATCGGCTACAGATCGTTACAAGTCAAGTGTTTATTTTTTGGGCTTTCTCTTAAATAGTTCAATCACCATTCATTGATATAAGTAACATGTATAAGTTTTGATGTGATGTGGAAGGCTCATATCGCTAAAGTATCAAATAAGTCTGTATTTAAGAAAACCTCTTATCCATAGCAAAATGTATTACTTATTAAAATATAGATTTTAGTAATTGTAATAAGGGAACCCAATTAATGATAGTAATCACCTATTATGATAATTAAATAACACAAAGATGACTTGTATCTGTATATTCCTTACAGAAGGATAATGGCTGCAGGATCTTCTATTCCATGGCAGAGACTCCTTTATGAAACAACAGGTGATGGAAAACTAGATGGCAGAGCATTGCGGGACTTCTTTGCTCCATTGGAGGACTGGTTAAGGAATGAGAATCTGAGAACTGGTGAGAAGGTGGAATGGTTATACGGTAAGTTGCTTTGTTTTGTTTTCCAACTAATTTTATGTTTTTAAACATAGTTCATTCAGTAAACCAAAAAGTCTGTTAATATGGTCATTAGAGCCTTTTAAATAGTTAAAAAGATCATATATCATATATGTTTAAATATAAATCCTTGATAAACTTCATTTTAAGTGACATGAATGTATATAAAGAGGTGGTATGACAGCAAGTTGCGCCATAATCATTTTTAGGGTTTAGGGCATTTTAATGGGAATCAGAATTTCCAGAGGGAACCGTATTTTTGGGGGAACTTCAATTAGGAGGAGCTTTCGAACGTGGAAATAAAACGTAGAACAGACCACACATTGTATAATTGTAAATAAACTACATTTTTTCTAATTATTTATACACACTAAATTTACTTCCTGTCTTCCTGTAGACTGGGCCTCCTCCAAAAGACTCCACCAGTTTGTTCGTCGTTCGCTGCAGCTCTATAGTTTCGGACTCTAAGATTGGACCGCGCGTCAGCAGTGACCGAGTCCATCCATCACTTGTTCGGTCATCCAACTCGCCGTTTCTTGCAGAGCTGTTTTTTAATGATCATTTTGCCAAGGTATCTTGTTGGCAGCCATCCTTTGCACATGTCCTACCCATCGAAATCGTCCGAGCTTCACGAACTTGACTATGTCAACATTGTTATAGAGTCTTCCTGTCTAACAGGACCGAAAATCCGTCTAAGAATGCTCCTCATTGTTATAGAGTCTTCCTGTCTAACAGGACTGAAAATCCGTCTAAGAATGCTCCTCTCGAAGACAAGAAGCCTGGACTCTCCGGCATTTGTGAAAGGCCAAGCCTCTGAGCCATAAGTGACGACTGGGTGGACCAGGGTCTTATAGAACTTGATCTTGCTCCGGTTAAAGAGCATTCTACTTCTAGATGGTTTGGCTAGGCCAAAGTAGCAACGCTTAGCTGCTGCAATCCTCCTGTTTACATCCTGGGTAATGTCAATTTGGGAGTTGATTTCCGAGCCCAAATAGGTGAAGCTGCTTACCTTCTGAAAACGGTGCTCTTCTGCATCTAAATATTCAACTCCTGGTTCGGCTCCTCCACTCCGCATTTATCTCGTCTTGGCCTCATTAACATTTTGGCCATGATCACTAAAGGCTTCTTCCAGAGCCAGGAATGATTCTACTAGGTCCCGTTCCGATCTGGCAGCAATATCAAAATCATCCGCGGATCCCAGAAGCTGTACTGTGCTATTAAACAGTGTTGATCGGAGTTGGATTCCAGAGTTCCTTACCGCTTTCTTCCCTGCAAAATTAAGCAGGAGGCAGGCCGAAGCGTCTCCCTGCCTAATACCACAATTTGTGAGAAAGGGGTGAGAAAGATCTACGCCCACACGCGCCATAGACTTTGAACTTGCCATTGTAATCTTAACCAGTTTCACTAATTTCATTGGGACGTTCATTTCTTTTAGGGCCTGGTAAAGTTCCGTTCCAGCAACCCTGACATATCGAAAAGGAGATGATGGATTACGATTTCATACTCTGCATTTTTCTATCATCAATCTCAATAGTTGGTCTATAGAGCATCTTCCTCTTTTAAATCCTGTCTGATACTTTATGATCTCTCTATATGCATTGGGAACCAATCTCTTGAAGAGGATATTTGAGAGTACTTTATAAGCAGATGAGACAAAAACAATACCCTGGTAGTTGCTGATCTGCCTTCTTGTAAAATATTTCAGATACTAAAAATCGGACCTGTACGCTATAAAAATTGTGTTGAAAACCAAATGATAACGAATTTTATGGAAGATAATGATTAAAATATCTCAGGAACTGAAAATCGGACCTGCATACTGTAATCGAGGGAAATGTTCAGCGTTCCTCTTTATAATGAACTATTTTTTATAATTTATATTTTATATTATTAATCCCGCCTTCTTGATGTTTTCACTTCTATCGTGTGGTCTAAAGCACACAACTTAGTTTTTTTTCAATTATCAAATTCTTTCAAAAGCTATATTTAGCATTTTTTCGTAACTCTTAATAATTAGTGATAGTTAATTATTTAAAATAAACCAAATTAAAGGAACATTTAAGCATTTAAGCCCTGTAAAGTGACACTAATGGGGATAAGACTTCAATGATATTAAAGACCACTTAATTATACAATGATACACCGAGTTTAATCAAAATCATTGGAGCTGTTTTTGAGAAAATTGTAAAAATTTGTATAACCGTTGATAAGTGCCTCTTCCAGTTAGTCGATTTTAATGAAAAATTGGTTGTCACATCTAAGGCATATACCTATCTTAAATACGATATATCAGTTTTGTACATCTTTTTGTTTTTGAGCTAGACTGTTCACATACACACCAAGATACACAGACCATTTTGCTGGACCTGGTTATTTGGACTCAGGGGACTTCAAATCAAGACAAGATTGCAATAATTTTCATTAACCCTTACTATATATTACATGTATAGGTAAGTGAAATTAAAAATGTTTATAGTCCTTTATATTATTATTGTCACATTTAAAGGATACTCCTTTAAATTGACTCACTTCATTTGACAAAGCAAACAAATAATAATAAAAAGGACCATTTTTAATTTTTTTTTTTTTAATTTTGATCTTTGAGAAAAGTTGTGGAGGAAAATTAAATACGATAGAATTAGAACAAGAATATAAACTAATATCCAAATGTCAACTACTGAATTAAAGTATAGTTTATATAAATATTTAAAAATTTGTTTTGTTTTCTTTACAGATGGAGATTATTGTAAATACAGTATAGAAACTGCTAATTTGCAGGTCCAGGGTGGTTACTACAGTAGTTCCAATACTATGTATATACATTTTCCTATGTTTATAATATTACAATGTTATATAATATTCCGTATACAATAAATAAATAATATATGTGTCATCAGTGCTTGTAATATATGTTTGTATCTGTATATCTTTGTGAATGAATGAAAGTAATTAGCCAGTAATATTTCTTTAATAATTATTATTGTAATTTATTTTTATACCATTGTACAAATTGTAAAACTAAATTTTTAATAATATATGATATAATAATTTTTTATTGAATTCTTACTCTTGTTTTCTAATATTTTAAATACTATCAATGTTTTTGTATATAAGATTCTAGTAATATTTGAAAGTTGTTACTGAGCAAAATAATTTTTTCTAAGGAATAAGGATAGACTGAAAAACAGGACAGTATTGATAATTAACATACATATTGGTGTTGTGTTAATATAATTAACATAAAAACGTAATGTTGGACTTATTAAAAACAGTGGAGCTATATATTGGTAACGGATAGAAAAATTGACTGTATAATTTTCAACAATTATTATTGAATACTGTTCCTTTATCATTAGTCATTAAATAAAATTAATTATGGAATAACATACTAGGTAAGAAAATAGTATTAACTTATTGTTTTATTTATTAATATTATTACTAATGGCTATTACTTAACTATGATTATAAAACAGAATATTTACAAACCATCAAACAAATTTCTCAATAATTTCTTATTAGAATTTATTAGGCCTAACATATACATTGTAAAATAAATTATCTATGTTAATTATCTCATTACAGCTTTATTTACAGCTTATTTAATCAATACCTTTTGAACAGGAATTTCTATTTACAAAAATCATATTTAATACTGTCAATTAAAATAAATTATGTATTTTTTTGTATCTATAATTTTAATACAAAATTCAACTATCTAAAACCTTATTCAATCTTCCTGATTCAAAGAGAGTGCAATTTGATCTATTTGACAGGATGAGTTACCTGAGAAAAAAATAATAATGATAATAACATAATTTAAAATTACATGATGGTAGCTTTTAACTCTGAAAACAAATATTTGTTAAAATATAGATATTACTTAGAAACTCTTATTTAAACTTTGTTTTCTATTTTTAGAAACCTTCTTGAATTCAAATATTTAAATTAAAATCTTTCACTGATCTTAAATCGAAGAATTCCAGTTCCTATTAAGGAGATAGAAAAAATAGGAAAATACATAATCTCTTATTTTTTTAAACTTCTCATTAAATTAAGATATTTGCTGTTTGTTGTCCTCTTGATCTTCACTAGTTATTCTGTTGATTCGCCATCAAGCCCCCATGTCAAGATTGACTGTAAGTATCTTTTTTATATATTTGTAGTTACCTTTGGGTTGTAATTATTTAATTCTGGGGATGATAATATTACTCGATTTAGTTATTTTTTTATTTTTAGTATGGTTTAATCTGAAAAGCCAGTTAAGTAGGGGAGAGGGATTAGTTAAATAATTAAAATAGGAATCCTGCTGTATTTAAAAAAATTCTCTAAGGTTTTCTTAACTCACAAGCGGACACGCATACAGTACAACAGCTGGACTGAATTTCGTTTCTTTTACCCTTTCAGGTATTCTGTAGCCTTTACCTCACAGGTATTCCTCGCAAATACCATCTGCTTCCTGATCATTGAATTTGTTTTAGAAAATTTTTGCAAATTCAGTTGTCAGGATTTCCAGTGGTAAATGTTTGTTTGTTGCATAGAATGAAATGCATGTCCGTTTTTGTACTCATCTAAGTGCATAGATCTAAAACTCCATAATTACCTTTGACTATATGAACTTTTCTCTGAGAACAATGTGTATCTCCAGAAGCAATCTAACTTCAGGAACACGACAAAAGAAGAAAAGAGAGCATGTCACAAATGTGAGCGAAAAATAAACATTTCTAAGAATAACATGTGGTACATACAAAAACTATTCTTGTAAAGAGCATTTTGAACACTAAATACGGACTTAGATTGTGAAAAATAATTTGAAAATGGAAAGCCAATAATCAAATGATTAGTTTGAGCTTGTATTTCTTTTATAAATACACTATGTATGTTTTTTATTGTAACTTACTGTTTTAATTAACATTACTACATGTAATTTATAATAACTTTAAAATGCTTATATTTATTTATATATTTTTTTAAATGCTGATATTTAATAACAACCTGGCGGTTGAACGTAATCTCTGTCAAATCATCTGCTCGTACAACCATTGACCAAGAAACAGTACCTTCCCTGTATAATACTGACACTTCATGGATTGTAGTGCTACAGGTTTTTTTTTAAAATAGTTATTTAATTTTTTTTTCAAATCCTTCTTATTTAATATTTATTTTTAAAAAAATCAAATATTAACAAAAAGAACTTATTTCAATGTTAAGATTCAATTAATTAATTTAAATAGAAACAAATATCGGTTTAACTGTAGAAAAACTGTGTGTTGCATTAAATGCAACGCACACCTACTCATGTCACCAGGAATGAAGCGCTTGCTCGCAGGTTAAACCTTTTATTTCACATTTATTATGACAACTTCAAAGATAGTGTAGGATTGTACACTAATTTATGACTAGAAATATATGACAACTTCAAGATATTACTGTAATACTTGAATATCTTCAGTGCTTGAACCACGCTCTGATGTTGACCCACATGTTTGGGTTGAAACGTCGGCACTAATAAAAACTATAACCCATTCTATTAAATGAATACATTTTATGACAACTTCTAGGTTGGCCCTACATATGTGGCTGTTTTTATTAATAAACAAATTTTTGCAACACATAATAGTGTATTACTTTGTAGACTTATAATACTTACCATAGTAATCACGTCTCAGATATTTTCTAAAAACGATTACAAGCAATAAACTAATCAATAGTAATGCACTCAGTATAGCCAACCCTATGACTTCTATTCCTGAAAAAAAAAATTATGAAATTCAGTAAAAAACAGTAACTTTTAATATTTACTTATTAAGTTTATATACAGTTTTTGCATATATGATTTAGATATTTAGACCAGACTACTATTGTGAGTCTTTATTATTTATTATACCACCATCCATCAAACACTTCAGGTCTTGCAGCTATTTTTTCTCAGTATTGTTACATGCAGAATTTCCTAAATATGTAAAAAAATAGGCAGAAAGAAAGTAATTGAACATTTCCAAATTCTTATATGATGATATTTTCTTAAATGTGAAATTAATTATCTAAAAAACTCGTAATATTTCAGCAGTTGTTTTTAAATATTCTAGATAACATAAATTTGTATCTTATTCTTTGGGTTTTATTATGGTTTATTAAATTACTGGCTAAAAATCATTACTCTCCATTTGAAAAAAGATACTACTAAAAAACTAAAAAACCTCATTTATTTATACCTTTCCAATTATAGCTTATTACTGCATTTTGAAGGTGTTCTAAATCACAAGCTACTAAAGAAATATTGAAGTTGCTAGGCATCTTTGTCCTAAAACAAATTAAAGAAAGAATTTACTTTTTATTCTATAGGTCTCCTAGGAGGCATGTAAATATAAATTATAACTTAAAATTATAACTGTAACAATTATAGATTCTTTGGGGTAAAAAAAAAAAACAGATACAATGCAATAAAATTACAGTATCCTATGATTTGGTTATGAAGAGTTATAAAACAGATGTTAAATATACAACGTTCATATCCATTTCCGAAATCATATCCAGTCTCAGGGAAAGTTCTTAATAAAGTAATACATGTGTTAACCTGCTCGGTTAACACATGTACCTACCTCACTACCTTGAATATATCATATGTTGCAGATTTAGCTCTATCCAAATAACTATTCTTCTATAATAAACTTTCGGCCTATCTTACACCCTAGTTCCTGACCTTCCTCCTTCATCGATTCCTGACAATGCTAGGCATCTAAAAAGAAAATGGCCTTGGACAATGCTAATATAGAATTATAATTGGAGTGCTATCGATGAGTTGTACCTCTATCCAAGTCTATCCATGCCAATATCACCAATCCACATTTATTTGTTTTTTTAATTGAATATATATAATAACATATGACAAATACACACAGGTATTGGCCTATGCTGATGATGTCAACCTGTTAGCCAGAACACATTGGAGGAATTGGAGCGAGAGGCAAATAGAAGAGCTCTCAAGATCAATGAGAAGAAGACGGAATACCTAAAGAGCACCCAGAAACCACCATAGATGCCACCACATACAATTAATATTAATTGTCATAACTTCCCAGTTTGTAGTGTTTTTAAATATCTTGGAACAAGTCACCGAATTTTTAAATTTTACAATAAATTAACTTTGAAAATGATAAAGGCCTCTTGAAACGCATATTTTGTAATACCTATTTATAACTACTGTCCATATAACTACATATATTCGTTATTTTAATAATTGTTTAATTTAATAATTGTTTTTATTATATGTACACAAAATATAGTAATAATATTTTATTATTAATATTAATAATAAATAAATAATAAACTAATAATGTTATAGTAATAATATTTATATGTAATAACTAAAAAATGTATAGTTCATCAATTATGAATATCCATTTTACAATGGTTCTTACGTAATAATGAACATTTTATTTTATTTTTATTACAATAAAATTTTGTACATCACCAATACCTCTTCACGTTCTCCGATGGCTAGTTAGTTTTAAAAATTATATTAACAATAAATGATACATATTAAGTCATAAAGGTTCAACCAAATACTCTCAGATTCAATTTATCCTTATGAAATTATAATTATATTTAAAAAAGAATAAGGTTAAGACAAACACAGGACCATATTTTCTCTCTCAGGAAGGTTACGAAGAAAACGTTGTGCCGAGGACGAAATGCTTATCTTGTATTTTTGGAAGTTATGCATCGAGTGCGTAAAGCTAACCAGGTCTTCTTCTAAACTTCCAGAATACTGGTGGGCGAGCAAGAGGTGAGCAAAGAGGCGAAGCTTCGCATCTTTAGATCTGTCTCTCTTCCGGTCTTGTTACATAAAGCTGTGAGCTGGGTGCTATTGGACAATAATGCCTCATGAATGACGTCAGGAGAAATGAGGTATCTCAGAAGAGTTACTGGAGAGACGATATAAGACTGCGTGGGGAACAGGGCAATTAGAGATACCCTTGGAGTTAGACATTTAAGGGATGTCATAGAGGAACAACAGCTCAAGTGGTATCGACATGTCTCTAGGATGGGGAAGTATGGAGCTAGTTGGCTGATGGAGGCCAGACCGAGGGGGCAGCGACCCAATATATATGTGATTGGACGCCCAAGAATCACATATATATTTATATGTGGATTACATATAATATATATTGACATATAATATATAATATATATATATATATATATATATATATATATATATATATATATATATATACATGTTACATGGATAAATTCGGAGGAGAGTGGGATGCCAAGCCCTAGAGGAAATGAAAAGGATTGGAAAAGGCCCAGGCTTGGTTCACATCCCAAAGACGGACCTAGACTACTCCACGCTACGGAGATAGAGAAATAAAAAGGAGAAGTTAGTTCTTTGAAATAAATAACTACAGAGTAGTAAATTGTGCGAAATTTTATAAAATAGATAAATTTTTAATTGAACTATTCAATAAAAAATTAAAATATGTATATTCTACAAACTGAAAATAATATCACGAATTCCAGAAAGTACCAATAATACAGTTTCTATAATTTTTTGTGGTCTAAAATCATAATTTTAGACGATGTCGCGAGTATTCTCTTACTCGTGGAACTGTGCTCTGGCGTAAAGAAAATGAATATAATTTATTAAATGTAATCGTGAATACATTGTTAACATTTCCCAAACGTGCAACAAACATTAAAAAATAAAAGGTCTTGTATCAGTAAAATACATATTACGTTCAAGTTCAAGTGCTTACAACAAGCTGTTTTAAGAAAAAGGTTTAGATATTTATCCCATTAAAAAAAAATATATAAGAAGACTTTCTTTCTTTTTTTTTTAATGCTTGACAGATTTCAACTTTAATGTATTAAACTTGAAGCACTTGTCACTATAACTGTAAAACATTTATCTGGAAAAAAAAATCATGTATTCGCTCCTACAGGCCACTATCCGAAAAAGGTAGACTGTTGTGTGGTAATGTTTTGAATTCGCGGGTAATGCTGCCCAAGTAACATTGCATTATAGTAATGTTATATTCAGTTTTTAAATAGGAGATTGTTTATAAATCATTCAATGACTTTCTTTTAACAAAAACAGATTATCCAAGAATAGAGGAAACTATTTCATTATATTATCAATACTTCGGCTACCAGACTTTTGTACTGTTAGATTCCATTTTGGTGACACTGAGCGCCAGCTGCGAAATAACAAGAATGCTAAGTTACACAATAACTCAGCGATTGTTAACTAAGCAGGAACAGTGTTTAGATGTGAAAACTTCTTTAGGCGTGTTTTGCACTTTTTTGTGGAGAATGAATTAGAATGATCCATCTGATTTCCGAAGTGTTAACGCACGGGTAAAGTCGGCTTGAGTCGACTAATTTAAATATTTTTACATATGGATTAAAATACAGAAACTAAAAATCGGGCCTGCTTGCTGTAAGCGAGGAAATTGTTCAGAATTTCATCCTTACTATAATAAGCTATAGTTCAAAATTGTACCTTAAAGCGATGCCGTGTGAGGGAGGCGAAAAGGAAAAAGTTGTGTCGAAAATCAAATGATAACGACTTTTATGGAAGATATGGATTAAAATATCTCAGAAACTAAAAATCGGATCTGTATACTGTAAGCGAGGGTATCGTTTAGCATTTTATCCTCTCTGTAATGGGCTAATATTCAAAATTGTATCTTAACACGACGTCGTGTTATAGAAGCAAACAGGAAAAAATAGTGTCGAAAAACAAATAACGAATTTTATGGAAGTTTATATTTCATATTATGAATCTCGTCTTGTTTATGTTTTCACTTCTATCGTGTGGTCCAAAGTACACACCTTAGTTTTTTATCGTTTATTTTTGCAATGGAACAATTTATTTGTTTTTTACTACTGTGTATTGGACAAAATAGCAATGACATCTAGTCCGAAAAATGTAACATCTCAAACGATTGGCTCTCGAGCAAAATTAAATGACTGATAGCACTTAACAGCGTATTTAAGAAATGAAAAAAACAAAAAAATACGGAGAAAATAGAGTTGAAATAAACTGTAAGTTTATTTAATAATAACAACTTCCTATTTTACTAATTTAAAAAAATCTAGGCTAAAACTACAATTAATTATTAATTAAAATAAAAAATATATATCACCTCAAATGTTTCTCACTAGGGCATAAATAACAGTGCTCATCTTGAGACATCATATTCCTTGAAAACAGAACCGTCATACCTAACTTTGAGTAATGTTTCTCTGTTTCTGTTTCATTCAACTCATGGATAAAGGAATCCAAAGAATCTGTATAAAAATTTTGAATATCCGAACTAAAGCCATTCCATATGCAGAGAACATAGAGACCCAGAGCACTTTTAATATTTGAACACTCAATTGAATTTGAAAAATGACTTTCGCTGTTACTGCTAAAGTTGTAGGTTGTTGCATAAGAACAGTTAATTTTTATATAGATAGTTGATAAAGATAGATTATAAATATCAATGCTGTTTGATATTTTCATGATATCTATCACAAATCTTTCGGGAGTAATATTTTCAGATGAATTAGTTCCATTCTGCTGTAATGGAAAGCAAACATTTTCTTCTACTCTGCCATACCCTTCACATGAGCAGTTATTAGGAGCAACGCATGTTCCTGCAAAACAGCCATATTGACATAAAGGGTAACAACCCCAAGTAGAGCTTTGATAACCCTCGAAACAATTGCAAACATTAGGCTCGACGCACTCGCCATTGTCACAACTATCGCAATATGGAATACATTTTCCATCATTGTCTGGTTGGTAGCCATTGTTGCATTCACAATCATAAGGAGCGATGCATGTTCCATTACTGCAATTATTGCAGATTGGTTCACAACGACCATCTTCATTGTAAGTGTAGTTTTGATGGCAGTTACACACGTTTGGTAAATTGCAGAATCCATTGAGGCAGTTAGTGCAATCAGGCACACAGATATTACTAAATGAATCGTTCTTAGAATATCCGTCATGGCATGTACATGTGTTTGGAGCTGTACAGTCACCATGCAAGCACTCCAATTCACAAATTGGCTTACAAACATTGTCTTGTGCAGGATGTTTTCCGTAGCCACTCAAACAAGTACATACATTGTAAGCAGTACATGTTGCATTAATGCATTCAGTGTCACAAATCGGTTCACATTCAATAGGATTACTAGAATTCTTTTTATATCCTGTGTTACACAGGCAATCCTCAGGTTTGTGACAAACACCATTTTTGCAGCCACTAGAACAATGAGGTTCGCAATAAGAACTATTGACGTAGTCATATCCCTGCATACATTCACAATGACCTGGCGAAGTGCAAAGGCCATTTGTGCAGCTTGGTTTGCAGCTTGGTATGCATTTATTACTATCCTGGTGCTCAAATCCTTGGAAACAAGTGCAATTACCAGGCATTGTACAGTGCCCATCGATACAAGGAGGATCACATATTGGTTCACAACTGAAAACGTTTTCATGAACAGTAGTGTTTTTATACCCAGCACAACATTCTGTTCTTGTTCGTGTAACTGATTTTGGCTGAAACAAAATTACATACATTAGAAATTCTGATTAAGAAAAATTAAAGGTATTGAAAAAATACAATCCACAAATGAAAAAAATAGGATCGTTAGAACTATCCTGATATTATGCATTATAACTTACTTAAAATATTTCTTATGATAAATAAATAAATGAAATAAGAATGCATTAATATTTAAGAATAAATTTAAAACTGGTTTAGTAATAAATAATATAATATGTTTACTAGGATCTTTCTCAGTTCTTATTAGCATTCTCTGCTATCGCTGTTTTTCTCTCTAACCTGAAGGCTTAATAAAATAATGGACACAACCCAGACGTGGTAACGATGTTTGGCGCTGAGTTGCGAGTTCATCAGCGAGAACAGATAAGAATTTTCTAATTGATATGGGTTTTTCTTTTTTCATATTAAAGATAATCCAAGAATTGACCTCCAACGTTCCAAACATTATCTCAATCACCATGTGTGAGCACTGTTCTGTCACGTCAAGAATATGTATCGGATGTCGGGAGATGATACCGTTCGGAAATCATATTTAATCAGCCCCCAGCGGTATCGGTCCCAGGCGTCCTACACCTTTATCTTTACATGTATCCGGCACCCATTCAAATATTTGTAAAAATGACAACTTTATAGACTTCGTAAGATAGACAAAATTCGAAACAATCCCGGTTGCTTGGCAGTCTAGACGAATATCGGAATCCGGGGACCGTAACCGTAGTAATAAGTATAGTTAGTGAATGTCTATTATATATAGCATACTTAAAGCATATTTTTGAACCATAATGAATAAGATGAAAGCACTTGAATTAAATGAAATCATACTAAATTATTAAGACATTAAAGTGTATTTTTTTTCTATACCTATATTTGCAGTTTTTCTTAACAAGCAGATGTCTCGTCTTAATAAATAAAAAAAAAAAAATTAAATAAAAATAAAAAAAAGAGAATCATTTGGTTTCTTTCTACTTAATATTTCAATAATAATTATAGTTGTTATTATAACACAATATTACTACAACTAGAGCCAAAATCTAATATTATATATTTTACAATTATTTAAATATTTATATAAAAATATTAATAACTTCTATACTGTGCTGAGATGGGATGACATTTTTTAAATTCACATTCAAATAATATACATTTGAATTATATATATATATATATATATATATATATATATAATATATATATATATATATATATATATATATTAAATATCTTACTAAAACTTTTCAATGCCATTTTTCAATAAATTTAAATAAAATTTTGTAATTGTTGAATTTATGAAAATGTATAAAAATGATAATTTTAAATCCGAAAATAAATTACGTGATAAGACTTGTTATCCTGATTTCATTTGTTGTATTTTAAAAGGTCCTGAAAACATTTAGTTACTAATTAAATAGACAAAGTTTACAGACCTCCTGTTTGAAGAAGCCCCAATCCCAAGAGTTTCCGCAAATAAAATAGTTTTAGGTTATGATGAGATCAAGCTATTCACAAAGTTACAGGCGGATGTTAATAATTTGATAAAAAGGAGTCTGTGCCAAGGACTATAAGTTTGTATAAATTTTTATTAAACAAAAAAAAAAAAAATCATATTTAAATAACGATTTGTTTTGCTGGTTAGTCATATCTAGTTCCGAGTAGGCGCTTGCCAGTGCGCCAGTCAATCAAAATTTTCTTGCCAGTGCCTCGCTGACCTCTCCAGTGACTGGCATGAACCGTTTACACGTTGCCAGTCGCTGGCATTGAGTGACTGGCGACCTCGACTGGCAAGCCTACTGGCCGTGTAAATGAGCCTTTAATCGTAATGCGCCAGTCGACTGGAATGCCAGCGACAGGCACCAGCAACTGGCGCCAGCGACTGGCACCTTGTAAATGAGCCTTTAGGTTGGGTGACCCTCTCCAGGCTATCTGTGCTTCTGCAAGCAATATACGTATAAAAGGAGACCATATCTCGCAGCCAAAGATCTTCATGGTTTGTAGCGCCAACCGAAAATAAAATAAACATATATATATACATTGAAAAGTATATAATGTATACTAATGAATTGTCAAGAAAAATTTTATCAAGAAGGGTAAATATAAAGCTATATCATGTGATATGTAATAATTGCTAAGCGACAGTGACAGCTTAGAGGCATGCATTAGGAAGCTATAGTAATCAGAGATCATCGTTTCTTCACTTCTATAATAATCAAACAAAGTTCCACGAAAATAAAAAATAAAAATCTGTGTACAGAGCTAATATAACGACTTGGAAAACATAAAAACACGATGAAACGTAATTCATCCAGAAACATACCACATAATGAGATCTTGTTGCATATTCAGGAACCTGTTTCCAACGGTAATACCCTCTTTCATATACTTGTTTCCAACGTAAATCAGAAGACATGTAGGTTTCAACTTCAATTTCTTGGACCCTGCGTTAATATATATTAATATATTTAATATAGGTTAGTATATATTAATAAATTAATATAAGAGAGACGGTTAATTTAATAGCTTAAACATTTTTTAAGGTTATGGTAACATTACCAATCAATCTAAAAGATCTGTTCCAAAACGAGTACAGTCGTATTGGAATAGACATTATCATTTGATTTTTTTAAACATAATCTTTGAACTTGGTTTTAGGTTTTTAAGAAAAATCTATAGTTTTTTATAAATGTATCATCTTATTTTTTACTTTCTCAATAGCGAAGATAGTTTGCTCGATTAACACATCATAAACTGATATACATATCATACTGAAATTTTAATCCTCAGTCAATAATGTGGGTCTGGTTTGATCCATGAATTTGAATAAAACAGCTGTTACATCGAGTACTTCATGAACATCAATGAGAACTTCGGTAACTTATCTCTTAATTGTCCTCCAGTAGTCGACCAAGAAGGAGCTTTATTATCAGTGTGTTTTCTCTCACCCACTTTTAGCTTGCAATATCTATTCTAGGGTTACATATGACCCACTTTATTTTTAACATTGAGGTCCGATCATACCCATTTTGTTAAGGATGATTATTTTAAATTCGATGATTTTTAAATTACAATATTTTTCTTGATCTGTCCAAGCATTTTGTATTAGTCCAAAACATAAATATAATAAGAAACCAGGAACTATCATGTCTAAGTATTATAATTTTCCTCTTTATGCATTATTATTTTCATTGAATTCCTTTATTTTATTTTTCTTCATAAATATAATGGCTTATGTTTCTCATTTTACGTCACATATAGCCATTAGTGTTCCCCAAATGCAAGAGCGATACGAAACCGAGTCAGTCTTGGTTTTGGGCTTGCGTCAACAAACCTTCGTCATGGTCTGCAAAAAATCCAGTCTCTACTTATAACTTAACCCAGGGGATCTCCAAACAACTGCCCTCAAGCCCACGAAAGTTTATGTGATTACATGTTGAAATTATACAAATTGTGAAATTTAAATCACTCAAATAAGACGTTACTATACCATTTATTTAGTGTTGCCCAAAATCGGTCTTGGTCTTACACTTTGCGAGACCAAGGCCGCCTTACTGTTGCAAGACCAAGACCAGGACTGGTAAACCAAAATCGATTTTTTAAAATAAAAATTAAGGCAAAATAGTTACTAATACTTGACAATCTTAGTTACTATATGTTAATAATTGGTATAACCAATATACTTTGGCATTTAACTCCTCTAATTTGTCATTAGAGCTTAGTTAGGTTTCTCCTATTTCAATAATTACAGTAATATCTCTATATTAATAAGCTAATAAGTAACTGCAAGACTGTTGCGAGAGTCTTGCGCAAGACCAAGACCATGAACATAACTGAGTTTGCAAGACTAAGACTCGTCTCGGTCTCGCATTTGGGCAGCACTACATTTATTCAATGAGTTGTTTATCTTAGGTAGCTCATTTCAGAGTGGACGTGTCATTTATAGAATAAGATATTTTTCATAGCAAGCCATGGCCCACGGGACTTAGTGGAGGTCTCAATGTGGCCCGCGGGACAAAATGTTTGGAGACCCTCTGACTTAACTTCTTTCTTTGTTTTCTAATTGTGCTTTAAAAAATAATCACTCTGTAGATAAAGATGTTGCAGATATTTAAAAAAAATCACAGGTGGGAAGGGCGAAGGGGCGACCAATAAAAATAGAGAGGAAGCGATAATATCATTTCGCCCAACTCCGTCCCCTCAATATTTCGAAGAAAAAAATAAAATCAATAACAGTTAATCGAAATGAAAAAATAAAATATGTAAATTCAATTCAATTCAGTTCAATTGGTACGTGACAAACAAAACCTTACATACCGACTTCCTCCTGCCTACAGTTGACCAATACATAAGAATTCTTTAAAACGATTTCACAATAATTTAAACCGACATACTAATCAGAGATATGGCTTCAGCTGACATACCCATTAATACGAGGAGTAGACTAAAAAGGCGCTGGATGAGAGATCTCCTTCCTCAACAAACCAAGTTAATCGATTCAAGCCAGGGAAGATGTACTGCTGGGTGCTATCCTTCCCCATGCCTGACATGTCAGTTTGTTACTTCATTCAGACCTGTTGATTGCCAACAGTCGTCGACACGTGCAGATTGATATTAAAAGAAAAAGAAAAAAGAATTCAATTCGAATTATTAGAAAAACCGATTAGATGCCTAAACTAAGGTCTAGAAGTATTTTACCACGCCATAAGAATCTATGAAATTTAACTTTATATTTAAAAATTATTATATGTAGCTACATATCCTAGAATTTTATGATTCATTTATGTCCACCTTTATATTTTTACATAGAGATTTTATCACATTTCCCGCGGAAATTTTTGAGCAGCGGAGAATAGTAAAAATTCATGTCACTTCTTCAAACTTTTATATAAATATAAAAATATGTAATATATTCAATTATTTTGTGAACATATTCAAATATACCCGCACATAAATTTCCAGCACATAAATTTCCGCACATCCAATTTCCGGTCCAGTAGTTTCGGAGAAAATACGCGGACGGACAAAAAACTTTTTATTCGTTTTTCGAATTCTACCTATCCTGAAACGTAAAACCTCAAATTTTGAGAGGGGTTTACCATTTTGTTAGATTACAATGGTTCATTATTGAAAATAATAAACCAAAAATATTTAAAAATCGCGATATTTTCACTGATTTCGATTTTCACTGCATTAGTTTCGATGAAAATTTATTCATTTTTTAAGAAATTTGAATACCTTCGAAACATATTATAACAATTTAAATGAAAAAGTGCATACTTTTTGAGTTATTCGGAATCTAATTTTACCATCTCTCTTAACTTTTTTTCCTGCTTATTTAAAGTATGTTATATAGATAAATTTAAAGGGCATCAAGAAGAAGGCTTTAGTAAAGTTTCATTGAAATCGGTAGATTTGTAGTCTACACTATGAAAGTAAAATGAAGGAGAATCATCTTCGTGTGACCTCTAATTTTAATTCCGAATTTGAAAAAAAAAATCGGTTCAGTAGTTTCGGAGAACCGACTGGGCGTAGGATTGATGACTGATGATTAACACAAAGGGATAATTTTGATATCGTAACAACGATCGTAGAACGATTTTTTTTTTTTTTTTTTTTACTTTTATTATGATATTTACAACTGTATTAGTATGAATACATCAAGTAAATGTGTACATAGGAATATAATCACATGAAACACGCATGTTGAGAAACCACCCATTGGTAGCACTCTAATAATTTGTCTACATGAGGAGATCACGAGGCCATCTCCTTTTCAGACGCCTCGGAGGGTTATCGGGAATCGAATAGGAAGCAAGGTTAGAAACAAGAGGATTCGGATGGTTATGAAGCTTATTATGGAAGGATAGGTATCTGGATTTGGCCAAATCGGAAACATATGGAGCATTGAGGTCTTTATGGGTTATTTTATTTGTGACAAAGTAAGGAGCATTGAGGAATTTACGAAGGATTTTAGATTGTAAAGATAGGATACGAGAGGAATTTGATGGTTTAGTGGAGCCCCACAGCTCAACTCCATAAGTCCAAATGGGTCTTATTATAGTCATGTATATGAGCCGTTTGTAATTCATTGAAAGTTTAGAGCGTTTGTCCAGTAAGTGTTAGAGTAAGCGGAAACGTCGAGCAGTTTCTTGTCGTTTCAGTCTCGTATGAGGATTCCAAGTGAGACGTTTGTCCAGCTGGAGTCCTAGGTATCGGATTTGTTCTACAAGGATAAGTGGGGTGTTATTAAAGGATACTATAGGACAGCAAGTCATTGGTTTACGACGAAGGGTAAAGGTGATTTGATGGGATTTATTGGAATTTATTTTAATCCTCCAGTTTTGACACCATTCTTCAAGGTTTGTGATGTGTGATTGAAAAGTTTAAGATGCAATTGTTGGATCATTATTAACTGACAGGATACATGTGCCATCAGCATACGTAGTGATGACAGTGTTAGGATGGGATGGGATATCAGCTGTATAAATTGTGTAAAGGATAGGACCAAGGATACTACCTTGAGGAACTCCGGCAGATTGAGAAAAGAGAGATGAATAGGTATTATTGTGATTTACTTTGATAGTGTCTATCAGTACGAGAGGAACTGATGTTAAGAAAAATATGCAGGGGGAAGGAAATTTACGGAGTTTGTAAAGCAATCCCGGATGCAGACTCGATCAAACTCCTGTTCACGTCGAGAAAAACTCAGTACAATACATTCCGCGCTTCCAATGCAGAAGGGGACGACATTACCAACACGATGACATTGCCTGGATAGTGGCATGGATGTGCGGAATACAAATTGGTTATCAGGAATTATGTGGTTAGAATCTAGGATGGGATACAGGGCGTTTTAAGGATGCGCTTCTCCAGGAGTTTGCCCAAATGGGTAAAAGAAGAGGAGAGGACGTAAAAGGATGGGTATTCTGGTGGCTTTTTGGGTTTATGAATCATTTTGACTACAGTTACTTTCTAAGGGTCGGAAAATATGTGGAACGGAGGTAACGGCGTTATAAATGTATGTGAGGAATGCGAATGGCTTTTCGGAGGAAGTTGCTTAAGAATTTGGGAAGTGATTAGGTCGCTGGCCAGGATCTTTGCGGGAGGGTAATCCAGTGAATATTTTTGGATATTTCGGAAGGAAGATAATGCTTTAGGAGGAGGGTGTCAATATTTGGAGCTGGAATTTCCAGGTTCTGTTTCAATACATTCAAGCTGATTTGGGGAGGAGGATATCAGGTTGTGGATATCGTTTTGAAGAGGTGATGAGGTGCTAAAAATGTGGATGTTTTCTGCATCAGATTTGAGACCTAGTTTGAGCTTTCAGTATGAAGGTGGATGATTATATTCTTTAACATTTCAGGAGCCGTTTAGTCGTCGTCCACAGTGATTTGTCCGATGGTGTAAGTTGTTCAGTAAACTTTAAGTAAAATTTTGAATTTTGCATTTTTTATTTCTGATTTTTGTTTTGTTGTTCAGTTGGGTAATGAGTTTTTATCTGTTGGATATCTAGTTTCTATGCCACTTCGATCTTGCTCTGCGTTTTGCTTAATAAGATTACGAATATGCTGTGGCAAGTTCGTCTTTTGTATCTTGTTTTAATCTTACTTTTTAAAGATGTTACTGTTTATAATGCTTTTGGTAATTGATGTTGTAAGTTTTTCTATGGGCACCATTAATGTCTGCTTTTGTCTTTAGCGAATTTCAATTCTAGTTTTTCCAAGTCATCACGAATTTTGTTCCAGTACTCGTCCTTAATCAATTTAGGATGATGTTTAGGAGCTTGCTGAATGTAGTGAAAGCAGCACTGGACTAGGTCTGAAGTAAGGTCATCGAGTGATTTGATTAAGGTTTGTGAGAAGGAAAATCTGGGAGGTGATAAATATTCCAGGATATAGGGACGTTTTTTGAGTTGATGTTGGCCAATAAAGTAGGACTCAGGGGCGAGAGGATTGATAACTGTTTGCAGATTGAGATACGTGAATGGAAAGTTACCGCGGGAGTTGGTTGTTCGACAACCCATCGTTGTGGGTTTAGCATTTGTAGTCTCTCCAAGCAATAAAGCGCGATCCGATGGGATTGGAAATAAGGATTCGAGGAGGTTATAGGAGATGGAATTATCAGGAGGACAGTATACAGCTGAGACAGTGAGATGTAAAGGGCGAGTTGAAAAGGACAATAGAAGTTGATTGAATGGCATCAGTTGGATTGGAAGAATAAGGGCGTGGGATAAAAAATTGATGGATAAGGATACATGAACTATGTGGGAAGTTGGTTTATATGGGTGTAGATCTGTAAGTGATTTAATCATGTATGTAGGAAATCGTATCCGTTGGAGTGAAGTGCGGTTTCCGTCAGAAGGGCAATGTCAATGAGATAGTCAGGGAGAAATAAGTCTAGTTCGTTCGTGATTGAGTAGTCCATTAGAGTTCCATAAAGGGATAGTAGGGGCTTTGCTCTCTCCCCTCGGGGGGAAGTTAGATCGGGATTTCGGAAAGGAGTCTGGTGAGGAGGGTAATAAGTGGTTTGATAGTCTCTTGAAGATCTATCAGGAATGTTGAAAGGATAGAATTTATGTCGGAAGGTTTTTGACTATGAAGTGGATTTAGGTCAGGAGGATGTGATGGGTAATTTGTGCGACTAGGATTGCTGGAAGGGGGATGTGCTCGACGTGGGATGCGAGGAGTTAGATCTACATTCTGTTGGGCTTGTGATGTGATGGGAGGAACATGTGATGTGATTTACATTGAGATTAGGAAGAACGATTTGAGAGAAAAATCTTCTGCACGATATATGGAGCGATCTGTGATCATAATACTTATACATGGAGAAGAAATACCACTAAAGAGCTGCTTTCAGAAACTGGTCAATCAATATCTCATGATCTGAAGGCACGGATGTTAAGATAAGCGGAGCATGTAACAATCATATTGGAAGCATCTACACGGCAATGAATGCCTCAATAATAGCCGTGAAACGCCAAAAAGCTGATGGATAGATAGAATAAACAAAGATGCAATAGAGCTGCATGCAGATAACTGAAAAGAAGTAGCCCAAGATAGGCAAAGATGAAGTATCATTCAGGTGGCAAAAGACCTACAAGGTCTGTAATGCAAAAAAAAATCAAATTTTATTTTATAAATTTAATGCAGTCACTTAAGTGCATGCATCGATCCATGCAATATAGTTACTATTTCTGTAGTTCTATATTATTAATTCTGTTATTCAACTTTTTTTTTTTAATATTTTGACAAATGACTGTGGAACTTGCTTGTTTTGCAATGCAGTTTTTACTATTCTATTTGCATTTATTTATTATATTATTCACTAATATTTTTTTTCATGCATTCATTCGTCTTAATTAATTTTTCAAATGCCTTATCAATAATCAAAATTGTACCACTGTTTTAATTCGAGGTTCTTGTTTCTTGACATCCCTCCAGCAATTGTAATAACCAAAACCGTGGGTACATAGTTGAAGTTCTGAGCGGACGAATTCATGCATGTAGCTTTCCTTAACTTCTACCTGTTCACTTCCAAAATTAAAAAATTAATACACGAGTCTTGTTGATGAAAATTAATATACCTATCAATAAGTTAAATACTTCATTTTTTTTCTCAACAACGTAATAATAATAATAATAATTATGGTTATAAAATTTTACTTTAAAGATATAAAAAATATATACGTTCAATTATAAAAAAAAAAAATCGATATCTCTACAACCCATTGAAGATCCTGAATTCATTACTTCGTATGGAATTACTGTTTCAAGATCAACGGCTGTGCAGGCATGTAAGTTAGCTGATTGTATGTCCAACTGTGTACCCAATGTTACTCACTATATAGAGAGTGGGCGGCCCCAGGAAGTTTTTCTAATTCCACATTCTTTGACTGATTTAACAGTATAATTAATTACCTACCATAGTCTTGAACCTGGGACCTTGAGAATATAAAGTTAGTGCCTAGACCACTGAGATAAACCTCTTTCTAATAATATAGTAGAACATATTATATATATTATAACATACGAAGACAGTACTCCTACGAAGGATTTCTGTTTCTCCACTCCACTTCGTTTTCCACTGCGATTCGAATGGCTTTGTTACTAAACTGGCGGTCAAAAAAACCGTAGCACCTTACATTTTGTCGTTATTTCGATCCGTAAAAACCACGGATTAAAGAAGTATTTTTGAGCCTGAGGAAATAAGAGGTATACGACAGGTCATGAGGGATCACCATGCAACTTTCCTTTCGAGGAAATTTCGTAAGTATCTGTAGGATTAACGATACAAATATTAAGTAAAACGTGGACTTGATATTAATTTGCCTCTAGATGCCAATTCAATAGCATTGGTTTTGCTTTTGTGTTTTATTTTTTTTTAAACAGTATTTTATTAGTATCAAATGTTTTTGGATGACATGGCACTAGCTCATATTATTAACAACGGACGAGCCTGCGACAGGCGGCTTGAGCATGGGCAACCTGAATCTATGGTTATGATTACGACAGTACATGCCTTTATTCAAGTAAGGGGAGGTAACACAACTAGTCCATTAAATATAGGCAAAAAACATAGGCGATATAAAAAAAAAATCATAATTGGCTGTAAGTGTGGGGATTAGTTCCTTATTTAATGCAGAACAAACCATGGATGGTCCTCTCAAATCCCATGCCTGCTTCCATCCAAAATAGGGGTTAAAGATGACCACCTAGAACTTTCTGTCTTATTTTATACTTTTCCTCATATAGCCGTAAAAAACCGTGGTTTATGAATTCCATAAGTGTTTATATGATTGGCAAAGATTCTTGTTTTGGATTCCATCGAAGTTCACCTGATAACAAAATGGTGAACGAGCTGCAAATTGATCTATTTGGCGTCAATAAAGCGACATTTTACTAATTCTAATTCTATCACCCATCCTAACTATCTTGTGAAATAAATAATTAACTATTATTAAGAGTTACGAAAAATGATATAACTATATATATATATATATATATATATATATATATATATATATATATATATATATATATATATATATATATATATATATATATATATATATATATACCTTTTGAAACAATTTGATAATTGAATAATGGAAAAAAAAAAAGGAAAATATTTATTTAGGTCGAAAATGAATTTCCGGAAATACTAGTCAGAAGGTATATTACAATATATCGTTGGAAAGCGGAGAATTTCATTTAAAAAAAACAATCTCTAATATAGTCGTAGAAAGTAATGGATATTGACGGAAAATTATAAATACCAATTTGTGAAAAACTAATATTATTATCACATGTTTTCAAGAAAATTTAATGAAATTCACTAATTATATGTACATTTTTCAAACTTTTTTATGTTTAAAAACAAATATTTAAAATCCACCTAATCAAGGCAATGACATTGTTTAATATACTATTTCATAGTACTCATCAGAGGTTTTTATTGTCTACCCTTATTGTTAATATTTTATTTTAGTGGTCTTAATGATTTTTTAGCTGTAAGCTTTAAGTTATATAAACGGTTGTAAAACCTTGGCTCTAACAGGCACATTAGAAGCCAGAATTGAGAAGTTTGAAAGAAAAGTTCTACGTAGGATAACAGGGCCTATATAGGACCAGAACCATAACACATGGAGGAGAAGGAACAATAAAGAACTTTTGAAAGAAACGGGTCAGTCAATATCTCATGACATGAAGGCAAGGAGGTTAAGATGGACATGGCATGTAGCACGTCGTAATCCATCAGAACGACTCTAAAAGACAATGAATGCCAGAGTAGTAGGCAATAGCCCATGTGGGAGGCCAAAAACCAGATGGGTAGATAGGATAAACAAAGATACGGCTGATCTTCATGCCACAAACTGGAAACCAGTAGCCCAAGATAGGCAGAGGTGGAGAAGGCTGGTTCTGTTGCAATTTTAATACGAAATATTAAAACAGAATGTTATTACTTTTGTGCCACTCTATTTGAGAAAATCTACAATAGTCTCTTAAATCGAGAGTTAATGTTCAATTAAAAATGTTTTATCTCTAATTTCCCAACTTATACTCAGGATAGACACATTCCAACTAATAACTGTGTCCTCAAAACGGTTTCACTTGATAACTGATGAGAAATGCTTGTCTTGAAAAGTAAAAAGGTGTTCCTACAATCGTCGCGTTCAAGCAAAAGGAATTTGGCTTAGATTTGAAAATTTATTTTAAATAAAAAAATACTCTTTCGTTATTATAGCTGCATACCCTTATTTATACATATCATGATTATAATGACTAAATATTTCAACTAGGATGGACAAAAAAGAAGTAGAATTAAGTTCGATTTAGACTGAAGGGACTGTTATAAATATGTATGTGTTACTAAAAGTGGCAGAAATAAATAATTAGAAAAATTAATACACGAGCACAATACATTATTATACTGATATAAAACAATTGCAGATAAATATGAATGCAATATCAGCCAAAGTAGAAAGTCTTGAACAAAAAAATAACTTACGTGTAGTGGACAATGCAGTATCCTTTCGGAGCAGCTGTGACCGGTTTACTCAGTTCTATTTGCAAGTAGTACATGAATACTAATATTCCCTTAAAAAAAAAAAAAAAAAGATAATATAATAAATAAACTGAAATATTAATGATTATTTAAAATATTAGGATCAGTTATTGCTCGAAGAACCCAGAGAGCCAGTGTTTCATGTTTTAAGTTGACAAAGGAAGATTTATTATAAAAAAAAGTCGAAGTATATATGTAATGGAACTTGCTTTGTAAAATGAATATGCCTTTTATTACAAAATAATTAAATCCAAAAAAAAATAGAAATAAACAAAAACAATATCATAAAGACCAGTTTGCTCCAAATAAAATAAATAATTCGAATAATGAACGCAAGTTATGCTGATAACCTGATTGTGGCTATTATTATCATACTCTATGCCTGGGTTTCCAAACTTTTTGGCACATTGAGACCTCCACTTAAGTCCAAGGCAAGAATGAAAAAATAATCTTATCTTATAAATGACACTTCAGTTGTGAAATAAGCTTTCTAAAATCAAATTCCTAAATAATAAATGTTATGGAAACCTCTTGGATGAGTAATTTGCTAAATTTCATATTTTTTAATAGTTTTAAAATGTCATGCAGTCAAAGAAACTTTCGCGGGCCGGATTGGATTTGCTTCAGAAAATTGTGAAAATGTGTTTCAGTGTTGATATAAATTAGCCGATTTTAAGGAAAAAGTTGCTGTCACATCTAAGGCATATATCTATCTTAAATACGTAATATCAGTTTCGTACTACTTTTCGTTTTTGGGCTAGATTATTCACATACACACATTTTTCGGGACTTGGTTATTTGGATTCAGGGTACCCCAAAACGTGTATTTCCGTTGAAAACTCAGGTTCAAAAATGTTTTCGATCGATAAGAGGAAATATATATATATATGTATATGAATGCATGGCAGCCATGCCCAGCCCCGTATATACATATATATATACACATATATACATATATATATATATATATACGGGGCTGGGGTAGCCGTACGGGCTAAGGCGCTAGGTAATCAAAGTTAAGCAACGTCGAGCGTGGTTAGTACTTGTATGGGTGACCGCCCGATTTGGGTGACCGTCCACCAGGGAAAGTTAGCTCAAGTCTCCCCCCCCCTCGGGTATTCGGGTATTCGGGTATGTGAGCCCGTCAGGCTACTGCAGGCAACTCACAACGACCCGGCGTAGGACTGATGACCCTACCCCGTGTACTTAAATCGGGAATCGGGATGTGTAACAGGATGTTAATAGCCCACCTGAAGTTTGGTCCTTGGACGGTCTGTTTCGAGAAAAGAAATATAGGTCCTCGTGCTCCTGCTGACTCCGAGCAGCCATATTCCATGGATCTAGACCGATTTGTCACTGTCATTGAACCCGAGAAAGTCGGTGGGAAGGACATTGCCAGATTGGCCATCGAGCTTTGGGTGGCCTGCCGCTGCACCATGGAAACCATGGTTCGTAGCAATGTGAGGTTGGGTGACCTCCTTCAGGCTATCTGAGCTCCCGCAAGTATCACGCGTGTGTAAGGAGACCATATCTCGCGGCCAAAGATCTTCATGGTCTTTAGTACCAACCGAAAAAAAAAACAACATATGTATATATAAATATATATAACTTACGTCTGTTCGAACAAGAAAAGATAAAAAAAAGAAAGAAAAGGTCCGAAATAAAACACGTGATTGCTCAAATAAGACTTACTTTATTCTCTCCGTAATGCTATATATATAGCATTACGGTTTGTTTACAACTGTTGAATAGGATTAAATAATATATCATCTTACATCTAACCATAACTTTATATATATATATATATATATATATATATGCAATATGCTAGCGTTACCACCTCTCAATAATATGTAATATTATTATAGTTTTTTTTTTAATATTGTAAATCCTTGTACATATGCTCATTGAAAATCATACAAATGCATATAAATTGTATGTGTTAAAGATTTTTTAAAATAAAAGTAGTCAAGAATATGAACTCTAAGTAGTGTAATCATCGATATCATATTTATGAATAAAATGATACAAGAAAATTAATGCATGTAAGATGGTAAAAGTATAATAATTTTAACAATACCTTTTAAAGTTCCTTAACTAGGCGCTGAACTCATCGTTCTAAACTTGGCGAAAAGATGTAACCGATGAATTCAGCACTGAGTTTAGAAACTTGGGCCATATATATACATATATATTTCCCCATTATTTTTTTATTTAGACATATAATAATCTGTCTTGTAGACAATAATTATAGTGATATATGAACACATTCACACCATGACCCCATTATTAAGTGTGATATCACGATGTTCCAAGCAGTCAGTACTTTATTCCAAAATTGTAGCATAAATTTTCATAATTTCCTTAATAAGTTTAAGGAAATCATTATTCATTTGAAGATGCAGTTGGACTTTTGATTTATGAAAGAGATATAACAATTATATCAGAACTGCGAATGGACTGAGGGAGAAGTACAAGTATTGGGTACAAGTAGTGGGAGTATAGAAAAAAAAATTACTTATTTTTTAACATAATTGACAATTATTGAATATTTATATCATTGCTTATACTATAGCAAGCAGTAGTATTTTTTTTATAATTTGAATAGTACCGTATTTCTGAATCGCAGCATAAAAGTTTCCATTAGTTTCTTAAATAGTTTAACAACCTTTATTGCTTAGTAGATGTCAAGAATATGACAGTCATTAGTCAAATATATGAAATTAACTCGAAGTAGTGTAACCATCGCTGTCATATCTATGGATAAAATGATAAAAGAATATTAATACTGGCAAGATAGTAAAAGTTGGTATAATAATTTTAAATTTTAATGATACATTTTAAAGTTTCTTAACTCAGCGCTGAATTCATCGTTCTGAACTGGGCGAAAAGATGTCACCGATGAGTTCAGCGCTGAGTTTAGAAACTTGGCCCCTATTTATTGTTAAAATTATAAACCTTTTGAAATTATAATTATTATACTATTACTATCTTACAAGTATTAATATTCTTGTATCATTGTATTCAAAGATATGACATCGGTGGCTGCACTACTTTGAGTTGATTTTATATTTTTGATTTTATTGTGAAAAATCTGTAACACATAATATTTATATGCATTTCTATGACTTTTAATGAGCATAAGTACAAGGATTTAAAATATTTAAAGAAAAGTTATAATAATATTATTTATTATTGAGGGGTGGTAACACTGGCATACTGCATCGTCACTTCAGTTCAGTGCCAGCTGTGCAATGTACGATGCTCTTCATAACAACCATAGTAATTTAGATATAACTGCAATATATATACGTCTATTGCTGTTAAGAACTTTATAAATTTAAAAATCTTTAAGAAAGTAACGAAAAAGCTTCTCAGTTATTTCAAAATAAGGTACTGACGAATTTAATAAATATTTGTTTTTGAATTAACAATACTGAAATTATAAAATTATAAAAGTGAATGAAATTATAAAACTAATAAAATGTACATAAATAATTATCAATCCTTCTATGACTAGTTAGAGAGAGAATAAATGCCCAGTAGAGAGAATAAATGCAAATTAAAATATTCTCTAAGAAACCATTGTTTAAACAATGGACTGTACATGTCTGTGCCAGTTCGAAAATTGTACTTCGCCCTCACATCATAGTCAACTGTGAACCAATGCATTTCGCAATAATGAAATTTATTCATTATTGTTTATTTTTTATTTAATTCTTTATTCATTTTGATAAATATTAATTGCAACTCCTAACCAATTGCAACGTTTTAGCTATTTCAGAAGGAAATACAAATGTTTCTATGCGTTATCGAAATAAGGTATTGATAATAATTCCTAATAAATTATTATTTATTATAGACAGTTCGATGAAGCAATTATTAATATACATATATATCTGTATAGCTTCAATTCATATAAATTCAACTGTATAAATTCAACAATTTAACTAAATGTAACATAACCTTTAAATAAATGTTACGGCAATTTAACAATTGTCTATGCCGTGGAAGAAAATAATTAAAATTCTTTATTTTTCTATACTGTACTACTTAGAACAAAAAAGTACCATACTTCATTTACTTCTATTAGTATTTGTCGAAGTTTCAGGTTTGTACCTATCTACATCTTTCTTTTTATTTAATTTTTTCTATAAATGTGAAGTAAAACTGCATCTACAAATAAATCATCATTTTAACACTATTTCAGAAAGAAATTGAAATGTCTTTCTGATGTTTGTAAAAATAAGATTCATTTTAAAATTTTGAATAAGTGTTAATCCATATTAAATTACTTAATTATTGATATATGTATGATGAATGCTGAAAGTAAATCATAAACGATTAGGTAATTACTTAGATGAATATGTATAGGTTACGCGGGGTTCACAATCACTTCGGTCACACTTGGAGTGCCGAATGCATCCAGGTTTACCCGAAAGACTGTTTTCGGCATTTCATAAACAAGTGTGACCGATGTGATTGTGAACCACACGTAACCTGTGCGGTCCTCATCTAAATAGTTACCAACGATTGTCCTGTTGTATTAGAAAATGAATAAATTTATTTTAATTTAACTCGAGTAATTTGAACTTTGGACACCACGTGGTTGTGCCAATTGGAACAAGGTACTTCAAAGTATAGTTCTAGCTCCGTAAAAATGAAGTTTTAAATTATCATAACAGTTTTCCGATGTATCAGAAGTTTAACTGCGCCAATAAATCGAGACTATAAAATATTTAAGAAAGTATTTGACAAGTTACGCTGAAGTTAAACATAAGGTACTGTTCAAATTATCAAACAAAAAAAAAATTCTCTGCTTGTCAAATTCTTCATTTTTAATTTATACACTACAAGTATGGATATAAGTATTTAATAATTGTTCTATTGTATTTAAAAATAAATAAATTTAATATAACCCATTAAACATTGGACCCTGAACATTGGAACATTTGAACATTGGACCCTACACCCTGTACTTCGACCTCAGTCAAGTCTTTGTTCTGTACGACGCACTTCGCAATAATTGTTATAGCTCTTTGATATACTAGAACTTAAATTGCATCCACTAAGAAATATTGATTTTTAAATTATTTAAGAGAGATTGGGAAATTTTACGCTGAAATTAAGAAATAAGGTACTGTTCAAATTATAAAATAAATATTACTGCTTGCTAAATCAACCGATTCTTAATTTATATAGTATTAGCAATGACATACATATTCAATAGTTGTCCAAATATGTTAAAAAATAACTAAATTTCTTTATTTTCTATATGCTTATTACTTTGAACAATGTACTCAACACTTGTACTTTTTCTCTCTGAGCCCAGTCGCAGTTCTGTTGTAATTGTTATAGCTCTTTGATAAATCAATTTATCATTACTTCGTTATTTATTACATTAATATTTACCATGAATAAAGTGCAATGTTTATCTTAGAATGTCTTTTTAAGTTTGAAATAAAATGTACCAACTAAATATTAATACTTTTGCATTTCAAAATATTACAAACTGAAGTCAACAATAAGCAATATATGTACATACAAGACACAATTATTATTATTATATATATATATATATATATATATATATATATATATATATATATATATATATATATATATATAGAGAGAGAGAGAGAGAGAGAGAGAGAGAGAGTAGGCTGGGGTAGCTTTAAGGGCTAAAGCGCTTGTAATATGTAACCAAAGTTAAGTAACGCCGAGAAGGTTAGCACTTGGATGGGTGACCACGCAATTTCCTCCCCCCGGGTATGTGAGCCCCGTCAACTCACACCAACCGGGCGTAGGATTGATGACGCTACCTTGTACTGAAAATCGGAAATCGGGATGTGATTGACACTTGCGGTCAAAGATCTTCATGGTCTGTAGCGCCAACCGAAAAAAAAAAAAAAAAAAAAATATATATATATATATATATATATATATATATATATATATATATACATATATATACAATAATCAAAATTGTGATGAACATTGAAGGTACGTTAAATCTCTTCTATTTAACGTACCTTCAATGTTCATCACAACTTTGATTATTGTTTCCTTTCTATTATTGATATCTTATTCTCTGTTATCTATGCGTTATTATTTCCCATGTTTCTTTACATTAACATTATTGTTCTTTGTAGTATTGTAATGTATTATTAGTATTTAATTGTTTTTAATTAATATTTTTTACTTTGCAGGACCGAAATCTACCACTGATGCACTTTCTGCAGGCTCAAATGAAATTTCTCTGAAGAAGACACGACAACTATGTACGATTTGTGTTGGTGTACAAAAGAGCTGAGTTACATGGCTTAAGTGAAGTAAGTGACTAATTCAAATACATATTAATATTTTAAAGTTCATATCTTAAGTAGCCTACATTGTTCAACCTTCTTTGTTATTTACGTAATGATAATATTTTATTATAATTTAAAATCACCAATGATTTTTACTTGGATAAATATATTTTACTTAATAGATAAATGTTGTTTTAGATGTTGCTTAGATAGGCCCATCTAAAACATATCGTATACAATCATCTTTTCATAAAATGATTATTTTCAAATAAACAATTATTGGAAGTTGATTAATTAATTAATTGTTTTATTTATTTTTTTCTGTTCCTAGGAACTTTTGGAAAGCCAATTCATACGGCCAAATCTAAGAAGCTGGAAGCCTACAGGTACTCTTTACCACTGAGGGTGGAGGATTCTGTAGAAGAGCTGCGAAAGATTCTTCGACTCACTGGATGGCCGAATATTCTTCTCGGTGTATTGAACGATTCGCTCTCTGGAGGACCTGGCAGGCCATCTACTGAAGTTCAGCTCATTCTCTCGTGAGTGTTGAGCCGTCCTCGATCTCACAGGATGGTCGAAAGGTTCGAATCCAGCTCTTTGGTGTTCGGCTCATCTCGGAAAGAGTCCACAGTCATCAGCATTCTCCAAGTCCTCAACTTCCTCTGGACTCTTCGCTCCGGAATTTTTCTCCTTTTCCCGGATCTTCTTGTCTCCTTTCCGAGTCTATCTCTCGAGGTTACTTTTACTCAATCGATGTCGTACTGTAGCAGGAGAATCGAAGGAAGGAGAGATCGAAGTACTCCGCGATCCGTCGTGTTTGGGAATTCGAATCGCATCATCGAAGCGATGTCGCTGCTACTGAGCAGTTCTCGTGTCACAGTTGTACACGAAGGTGAACATCGCTCAACTAGTGGAAGTTAAAACTAATAACTGCACTGTGGTGGTTGTTACTATCTTATTTTAGGGATACATTATTTAAATAGCCGTTGGTTAGATATTCCCTTCTGGGTCTTTTGTGACCCACTTAGCAACATAAGGCTTCTATAGTAGCCTCACAACAATCACCGCAACCACCACTACTTAAATTTCACTGAAGTTATATCTGCATCTGCTTGGATTTCAATCATATCATCTATTTACAATTGCAGATATCTTTTAAAAAGTAACTGTGGAAAACTATATATATAAAGAAATCGTTTATTTATTTTCACCCCAAACATTTGAGAGCTCGTCGATGCTCTATTCCTAGCCCAGCATTGGCTTTTATTACTCATGGTTCAAAGTCTCATTTTTCAGGCGCTAAAGGAAATCAAACCAAGCTAGATATAGTGAGAGATATTAAATTTGAGGGATAGTTTGGTTTGATGTTTTACTAGTACCTGAGGAAGAGCTCTTTTCCAAATACACTTATCGCTAAAAAAACAATGACCTAAGAACTATCTTGTAATTATTTATTTCAGACTAATCAGTAATTATTTATTTGAGACTAATCAGTAAATTTAGTCTCAATTATGAGTGACGTAGATTCATACTTTTTTTATTATTTCTGTCTGTAGTTCCTAAATGGACAAACAATTTTATCATGAAATTGTTTTATTATCACCTTGATAAATAATCAACTAGGAAAAAAAATTAAAATATATTTTTGTTAAGCAGTGTCTGGTCATAATTCTTTTATTCAACGAAATTTTAAGATTCCGTATTTTAAGCGAAAATTCTTGAAAAAATTTGGTTTATTTTTTTTTTAGTTTAGTTTCGACTTCTGTTAATTGAGCGATGTTCTTCTACATTAAAAACAACGACACGAAAATCGCTCAGTCCGTTAGATCACTCCGATGATGCGATTCGAATTCCCTACCTGGCGAATCGTAGAATACTTCGATCTCATCTTCCTTCGACTCTTCTGTTTCAATGCAATGTCTTTTTGAGTTAGAGTGGCTTCGAGAGAAAGGGTCGGTTTGGGGAGAAGAAAATCCGGGAAAAGGAGAAAAATACTGGGATGGAGTGTTCCGGTTGGAGGTTGAGGACTTGAAGGACGTTGATGACTATGGACTCCTTCTCTGTATGGGCCGAGTACCGAAGAGTCAGATTCGAGTCCTTTCAATCATCCCGCAAGAGCGAGGGCCGCTTTCTGCTCGCGAAGGATGAGATGGATTTTAGAAGATGGCTTGCTCGGTCCTCAAGAGGGGAGATCGTTTTATTGACCAGGAAGAGTTTTTTGTCGTCCAGTGAATTTTTTGTCTTAGAATCTTCTCGAGTTACCTCCGCAGAATATCACCCTTTGTGGTCCAGAGATACAGAAATTACGACTTAAAACTTTTGGTAGATTGAAAGAATGAAAAAGATATCAGAGAAGAAGAATGAATGAAGAATTAACATTCACAGCGGATGCAGCTGAATAAGGTATGTTGTTTACATTATACTGAATTGTATTCTATAATAGATGATTGTAGCATTTTAAA